GTAGTCCCAGCTACTTGGGAGGCTGAGGCAGGAGCTGGAGCTGGAGGTTGCTGTGAGCGTGATGCCATGGCACTCTACCCGGGGGACAGCTTGAGGCTCTGTCTCAAAAAAAAAAAAAGAAAGAAAAGGAAACTTACATTACTTACCTACCAGTTTTGCTATGAAGATCAAATTAAAAATAGACTAGGTGCGGTGGCTCACGCCTATAATCTTAGCACTCTGGGAGGTTGAGGTGGGTGGATTGCTTAAACTCAGGAGTTGGAGACCAGCCTGAGCAAGAGCAAGACCCCATCTACTAAAGAGCAGAAAAACTATCTGGGCATAATGGTGCATGTCAGTAGTCCCAGCTACTTGGGAGGCTGAGGCAAGAGGATTGCTCAAGTTCAAGATTTTGAGGTTGCTGTGAGTGAGCTATATACCATGGCATTCTACCCAGTGTGACAGTGAGACTCTGTCTCAAAAATAATAATAATTAAAAATAGCAGCAGCAGCACTTGCAGCTCAGTGGTTAGGGTGCTAGCCACATACACCAATAATTGCAACAACGACAAAAATATAGACTGGCGTTGTGGCCAGTGCCTGTGGTCCCAGCTACCTAGGAAGCTGAAGCAAGTGAATCACTTAAGCCCAGGAGTTGGAGGTTGCTGTGAGCTATAACACCGTGGCACTCTACCCAGTGCAACAGCTTGAGACTCTCTCAAAAAATAAATGAATAAATAAATAATTATAATAGGTATAGTGCCTGTAGCTCAGAAGCTAGGGTGCCAGCCACATACACTGAAGCTGGTGGGTTCAAATTCAGCCCGGGCCTGCCAAACAATAATGACAACTGGCTCAGTGCCTGTGGCTCAAGCGGCTAAGGTGCCAGCCACATACACCTGAGCTGGCAGGTTCAAATCTAGCCCGGGCCTGCTAACCAACAATGACGGCTGCAACCAAACAATAGCTGGGTGTTGTGACAGGCGCCTGTAATCCCAGCTACTTGGGAGGCAGAGGCAGGAGAATCCCTTGAACCCAGGAGTTGGAGGTTGCTGTGAGCTGTGGTGCCACAGCACTCTACCCAGGGCGACAGCTTGAGGCTCTGTCTCAAAAAAAATGACAACTACAACCAAAAAATAGCTGGCATTGTGGCGGGCACCTGTAGTCCCAGATACTTGAGAGGCTGAGGCAAGAAAATCACTTAAACCCAAAAGTCTGAGGTTGCTGTGAGCTGTAATGCCACAGCACTCCACTCAGAGCGACAGCTTGACTCTCTCTCAAAAAATAAATTTAAAAAATAATAATAATAGCACCTACTTATGTGTGTTTGCCTACAGTGTTATTTCATATATTATGTACATTATATATATACATATGAGGTCTCACAATTCAGTTCATAAGCTCTTCCCAGAAAAAGTACTTTGAAGGGTGGACTAGGTGTTGGCATTGGTACATAGCTTCCCAAGGGGAGAACTTTAAAGGTGACTGTACTGATATTCAGCAATAAGGTATGTAGCGCCTTTTCTAGGATTAGTTTATGAACTTAATTGATCCTCACACACACGTGTGTGTATATATATATATTTAAATTCACAGCAACCTAATAAAGTAAGTACTATTGTTATCCCCATTTGGTAGATGAGAAAATTGAGGCATAAAGAAGTTAAGTTGGAGGAGCAGGGATTCAAACCCAGGCAGGCTGGATCTAGAGACATGTGTCTAACCATATTCTCTGTTGCTTTTCTTGTGTTTAAAGTTCTTGGACAATGCCAGACGCTTAGAAACCTTCAATATATTATATATTTTGAAGTGATAAGAATACATGTCTTGGGCTTTGCCTATGGCTCGGTGACTGGGCGCTGGCCCCATATACCAAGGGTGACGGATTCAAACCTGGCCCCAGCTAAACTGCAACAAAAGATAGCCACACTTTATGGTGGGCACCTGTGGTCCCAGCTACTTGGGAGACTGAGGCAAGAGAATCGCCTAAGCCCAAAAGCTGGAGGTAGCTGTGAGCTGTGATACCATGATACTCTACTGAGGGCAACAAAGTAAGACTCTGTCTCAAAAAAAATCTATTATGTATGCAGAAAATCCAAATGGCACAGAGAATTTATAGCAAAAAAAGTCTTCCCTCCTATTTCAGCCTCCAACAAAAAGGCACTTAACAGTTCCTTTGTGAAATGTCTGCATGTTCAAGGATATGTACATAAAGCTCTATTCTAACAATTTAAATTATTTTAAAGGTGACGCCTATGGCTCAAAGGGGTAGGGCACTGGCCCCATATGCCAGAGGTGGTGGATTCAAACTCAGAAACTGAAAAAAAAAAAATTTTTTTTT